ACCAATAAGAACCGGAGAACATTTAGTGGTGAACTATAAGACATGATAACACCACTTGGGATGTTGGGTGAACACTCAGAAAGCATATAAATCACGAGCCAAGCTTTCCTTGCATTCCCCCAATATCCCGCATGGCTTTAACATATTATAGAGCCTGGAAAAATGTGTGCTATTTCTTAAGTATAAAGTCAGTTGGTTTGACTCTGTCACTTTACTCTTTACACCCTAACATCAGTCTAAACTTTCTCTTTCTACTGTTCTCAGAACATCTCCTGAGATGCTGACAAAGAGAATTTTTTAACAATTATGAGCTTCTTTAGTTGGTGATCAATTCCTCCACTCTCCTGACCTTGATGTTTGATTCAGGGGTGATATTGAAAGGAGAAATTAGATGCAGGTCGCTTTTAGGGTCAAAGGGTTTATCAGTAATTATTTAATTAAGGAAACATTAGCAGGGTGAAAAAAATTTTGACATTAAGTAGAATTCTTCCATTTTTAATTACTGTATTTACCCATGTATAATACGTGCCCATGTATATTGTGCAGTCTTATTTTAAACCAAATTTATCAGAAAAAATGTTTTTCACAGCAATCTTCAAACAATTATTTATTCAGAAAACAAGAATAAGAAATTTACTATATGGTTAACACTAATATCTTTTGTTATTTCGTTATTTATGACAATATTGGAACCAAACTTCAGGACTTCAAGCAAGGCCTTACTATTTACCCGTAAATATTATATGTCAGTAACAATATGTCCAAAAAGTATTGAAGATTTTGTGTCAAATTGTCATATTTTTAGAATTTTCGACCCAACACTATGCAATTTTCTGGCTGTAAAGTCAAGTAAACAACAATATACCCACCATGAATTTCACTGCGTGGGCTTTGTTCACATAAGAAATTTGCACATTTTTTGCTTATAACAGCAAATCAAGAACTACTTTAAATGAAGCTTTTGTCCTGAAATATTTCTTGCTCACTTTCACCTTGCTTCTCATTGAAAAATTTCATGTAACAAGAGATCTCTTCACACACAGCCAAATTTGCATATTCACTTTGAAATCTGATCCATGTACCTGTTTTGCACACTTGCTAACATATTTAGCGATTTTTGTCTTTCATCTTGATTTGGAGTAAAAAATTCATATGCACTTATAATTTTTCATTGAAAATAAACCATTTAATTAAAAAGCTTTAAAAGGGTTACTTTCTTTGTGTTTTTAATGTATGCAAATTAGGACATGCCTCACAAACAATGGAATCCATGTATAATACACACTGCAATTTTCATGGTTATTTTTGTAGAAATAAAGTGCATATTATACACGGGTAAATACTACAGTAATACCCATTTGTTTAAATATTCAATTTTAGCCAATTTTAATGACCCATAATTTTTCAGCATGATACAATGACAATTAGTAGGATTTTTTAATATTTCTAAATTTCAAAAGAACAGTATCTTGCATTTATCATTTATGCATTACAGCCATTTATAAAAGACCAGTAGCTACTAAATGAAGAAAATTTCAATTTGAACACGAGTGTTCGTGTTGGCCTTCTAGTTGGTAAATTAATGTATTTTTAGTAGGTATAAATGCTGACCCATTCACTCCCCGTGATCTCATTGGTAATTCTCTTTACTCTCTGCCACAATATTCCTAAAACATTAGTTAGGAGAATTTGGCACTGGATCAACTGATAATCCCCTCTTTGATACTTATTCTCATCACTTGTCTGCTTGATGTTGCATTGATATCATAAGGAGAAATTCTGTCATGGTCACTCACAAAAGTTTGAGGATTACAAGAAAGAGAGACTTGTGACACCTGTCATGTAGTTAAAAGAGCAAATTGTTCCTGCACAAGCCTAATTAAGCTTTAACCATTAAAATGTAGATTTTAACAACAGCTGGAGCAGTCTATTCTTCAATTGGTCACAGAGAACACCTTCTTATTGCACCATTTATTGTTACATGTATTATTAAAGGTACGTTAATTTTTTAAAAAATCTCTTAAGTTTATTTACCATATCAGAGCTTCTCTTACCTCCTTTTTTTTAACAATATAACCTGAAATATCTTTCATGACAGTAGATGTCTGAAAAACAACATGCTAGTTAAGTTTTCATCCTAGGTATAAGAATTAAGAATTCTTACACCCATCAAAGTTAACTCTGGAATTATAACACTTTAAAGTGACACTTTACTTTGAGAGTGAAATATTTAAGGTTAGGCCATACCATCCAGCAGGCAGACCTAATACAAAACAGTTTTATATTTCATGAGACCTGGCTTGAGTAATTTAATGCAAATAAGTTGGGATTTATTTCAGAAAATCAGAAAACTAAAGCACTCATATTTTACCTGGATGGTGTGCACATTGTAAATTAAATTTTTTTTTTTTCCCCTAAGGTGAAGTGAACTAATTTTATTCTTAGTGTTATTGTTGGTCTCACAGAGTGGTCAGTGCAGTTGCAGTAAGTGACATTTCCCAATACTGCTAGTCTCCATTGGCTATCAAGGTTTACTGATTATTTATCAACTGATAAAGAAATGTTTCACTTCAACTAGCCAGCCTCTAACACATTTTATTTGATCCTTGTTTAAGAAAATCTCTTTAGAGCGAAAAAAAAAAAAGATTAAAATTGTTGTGGTTTAAGTAGTTACCAGTTTGATGTTATCTATTTCTATTTTAAGGGGAAGAAAGGTTTTATAAGAACCCAGCCCTCTTTGTCTGGAGTCCACAGCACTAAATATTCAACCACTACAACTGCCAGTTATATAATGAGTAAATAAGAAAGTTAATAACCTGCAAAGCCACCAATTGTGATGTCACCAGACCAGATGATACAGGAGTCTGTGTGGATCCTGAGGGGGGTGGTGGTGGTGGTGGTGGTGGTGATGATTTAACTTCAGACACCTCTGGTTCAGGGCTTGAGATAATCTGTTGCAAACAAAATATACAGAGAGTCATAATTTGCAGATTGTGAAAAAAGCGGCTAGAATGAGTAAATATTCCTTTTAGATTTTGTATCCAGGACCTGGTTGTTCAAGCTGGGTTAAGGTAACCCAGGGTTAGTGTGAAATTTGATTTTAGATCTGAAAGCTTTAAAAGAAAATTTAGGTCAATTCCATTTGTCTACAATTTCATTTTTAAATGCTCTAAAAAGAATTGGAAAAGTTGTCCTAAAAGAGCCTTTGCACAGAGAAATAGAGAAACCTGGATTAAAATTTAACCCTGGATTAGTGCTAATCGGCCTTCGAACAACTGGGCCTTGGTGAATAAAAGGGATAAGTTTCCCAAGAAACTGTGGTGTTGTGCTGCTTGGGGAAATTATAAGATAGTTTGGTTTTATTGAACTGAGTTCATAATGTAAATTTTCCTTTGTGAAGAGTTTGTAAAGCTAATGTTTCAAGAGTTGGTCTACAATGTGGTTGAAAAGCCCCTAAGTGGTAGCTTCAATTTATATATTTACTATTATTATTATTATTATTATCATTATTATTATTATTATTATTATTATTATTATCAGAACAAAACAGTAGCTTTAGAAACTTTCTACAGTGGCCAGTCTACATCATTGACTCATGAATAAAGGGGGTAAGTTTCTAAAGAAACTGTGGTGCTGGATTGGTAGGGGTAACAAGGTAACTTGGTAATATCAACTAAGTTAAAATTGTGAATTAGCCACTGTAAAGAGTTAAAAAGCTAACTCTTTACTCTTTAACTCTTTATGGTGATATTACCAAATTACATTATTGACTCAGTTGATAAAAGGAAATTATCTCTTATTTCCAGGTGTTTGCTTGCTTTCATCTTTCCTTTCCTTTCCATCCTTCTCATCCTTTCAGTCTCCCTACCATGCTTTCCACTGCTATATCAAAGGGAATTCTTACAGTTACCTGTGAGGTATTTAATGCAGATAGCTTGGGGGTTGAGGAGGCTTCACTAAGGGTTGAAGAAACTGAATTAATAGAACTGTTACTTCCAAGTGCACCCAAAGAGTTCTGTACATCATTTCCTTGAGGTAGCTGTGCTTGAAGTCTGGGTGGCAGAGGTAAACTTGATTTGGCAACTTTATGCAGTGGAGCAAACAATCCAAAGTTAGGCTCACACTGGAAATATCTAAAGAAAAGAGAAAAGAGGTTAGTCAGAAGTAAAACAAATCCTCTGGGTATGATATGGACCATTTGGGTCAGACTTGAATGGAAAAAGAGGTTGAGAATTTACTTCCAAGACACAAAAAAAAATTATTTTACAATTATAAACAAATAGCCCTTAACTTTTCCATGCCTTTTTATCTGAGCTAATAAACCACACAAAATCATTCAAGATGAGTTCTGTAAAAATCTATAATCCAGAATCAAATTTTCCTCAAGAGTAAAAAGGTATGAAATTAGCAAAAGCTGTCACTCTATCCTGTAAAAAAGATGAAAGTTAAGCACCTTGCCACTATCCATGACAGAGATCAAGCTTTCTGGCAAAAGATATATCTTCCTTCGAACTCAGCCCTCTACACCCTAACATCAGTATGCATATTCTCTTTACTGATCTCTATACATTTTCCTATGGTGCTGACAAGGAGAATTTGTTTAACAATCAAGATCCTTCCTTAATGGAAAATCAACTCCTTTATTCCTGTGATTTTAGTGTTTGATTCAGATGTGATACTGTTAGGAGAAATTAAATCCTAATTAACAATTGGTTCATGCTTTACATACATACATACATACATACTTTATTTATTCCAGAAGCAGATGATAACTATTATATACAAATAAAACTAAAAAGAAAATACTTCTAGAAAAGGAAGTTAAGAGGTTATCCCTGTGTAAAAACTCCCTTAAAAGAAAAGACAAAATATAAATCAAAATCATTACAATCAAATATTTAAGTACGATTTAAGTTTAGATTTAAAATGCTGAAAGCTGTCAGCTTCCACTATATCACCCGGTAACTCATTCCATAATTTGACAATCCTAATAAAAAAAGAATTTTTGTAACAATTAAGTCTAGCTGGTTTAATATAGAGTTTGTATTGATGATTTGCTCTCGTAGACCGAATCGTGGCAATATCAAAGAAGTCTTCAAAATTTAAATGATAAAAACCAAAAACTATCTTATAACATTCGACTAAAGATAAGTAAGTTCTACGGTCAGAGAGAGTGGGCCATTTTAGCAGTTTGCATCGGTCTTCATAGGACATTTCTCCTTTGCGTTGATTTAAAGCGAGTCTTGAGGCTCTTCGCTGTACATTTTCAAGGGTATGGATGTCCTTAACAAGGTAAGGACACCAAACAGGTACCGCATATTCCAAGATTGGCCGTACCAGAGACATGTACAGCATAGAAAAAACATTTGTGTTAGCGGTGCCTACTGAGCGTTTAATGGAACCTAAAACTTTGTTCGCTTTATTGACAGTGATACTTATGTGATGGCCCCATGAAAGATCTCTAGTTAGTGTGACACCGAGATCTTTAAAATTAGTCACATCTTTCAGGGGCTTTTCTAAGAAATAATTAGTTACCGACTTATCGCGTAAATGCGTAATTCGCATAGATTCGCATTTGTCTGCGTTGAAACGTAGCTGCCACTTACGAGCCCATGCGCTAAGATTATTAAGATCATCCTGAAGAAGCTGACTATCTTTTATAGGGTCAATTATCTCTCTGTAGATCTTCGTGTCGTCTGCATATAGTTTCACTGTAGATGATAGGAATTCAGATATGTCATTAATATACAATAAAAACAATAGGGGCATATTCTAGTGTGAACACTTAATCATTATCACCATTAATGAAAAAAAAATTAACTCAAAGTGTAAAACTGATGGGTTGAATTTCATATGTTAAAAAAATATGGCCTTTCTTTGGACCTTTATGGGAAGGGAACATTGCCTGAGAGTGATCAAAGGATGGAGAGAAGAAAAGGAAGAAGGAAAAAAAAAAAAGGAACTGATAAGTCAAATCTCTAAACCGAAAGTGGTCCCTATACTTACTTATGTTTCAACTATGTATTCATTCACTGACTAGAAGTCACTCCAGCTTATTTGCTGTATAAAGTTTGATGCATTATAAAGAAATGCTTGATAACTCAAAAAATCAGCAACACTCTAGATTAAAACTATTCAAATATTAAAGAGGGGAGGGACTCCCGTCCTTTATTTTAAAATTTATGCATCTATCATATGACAACAAGAGGCAAAGGTTGACAAGTGTGAGTGTAGGTTCAATATCAGATGAATAATCTTGATGTGAAAGCAATGATGACCTCCTCTAAAATTACCACTTATTAATCAATGAACTGAAAGATGAATTAATGCTATGCAGGTTGTCTAGCTGAGCAGTATGTTATCATCTGTAGCACCCTAATGTAAGAAAGAACCGGGTCCCCACTTTCTTTTGTTTTTGTTTTCTTTTTTCCTTCTAATTCTGGCACCCTTTGAAGATTGCATCTCTGTTCTTCAGAAAATATAGCTAACATGGTATTGGAAGTTTTTTTTCATCAACATTTTCCACATTTCAGAGGTTAATATAACGATAGGAGATCCAAGTTTGCTCATTATTCACCAAAAGATTTCGAAAAATGTTCTCCTGGTGCTTTGCCAAATCTGCAGACAATATGCTATGCTGTACTCTGTAACTCGTGTGTCGCTTTTATTATAGATGAAAATAAAATCATTTGAAGGACTTTCTACTAATCATGAAGTAGTTTGTACGTGGGCAATTAAGAACAACTAGCTTCCAGACAAAATTATACACCTTGAAATAATTAGAATTTTAAATTCAAACTCAATCCAATGCCCGGGGGAATGTTTTAAAAATTTAGTATTCAGCGGGTAATATAAGAGCCATCATTCCAAAATGATAAAATCACCGCCTTTCAGGTAAATATAACTATTACAAAATTGTTGCTCACGAAAGTGAAATGCCAAACGTTACAAGAATTTCAGTCGACGTGGCATCAGCAACAAGCACGTGGTGTAATAGATCGTTCGAAAATCAAGAAGTTTCCAAGAGGCATCATTCAAATCCAAAATTAACCACAATTGTATTAAACATTAATTGCCTTAAAGAATTCAATATCAACATCTAAACAAAATGCTGCGATTATATCTCTCCGTCTCCAGTCATCTGTAGAAAAGACACAATTGTTAAGTTATACTTTCTAAACGTAAATGAAAACACAATTTACCTTGTTCCAGCGACGGCTCCATCGTTTTTCCCCAGTGGCTCGTCTAGTTCAATACCAGCCCATTCGCCTTTAGCAAATCCAGTTTCTCCAAGATACCTAACTACTCCATGTTTAGTACCGCTTACGACGACACGGTAGCCGATTTCTAAGTTTGCTTTCTCTTTTTCCGCCTTACCATCGCTCAATGAAGTTCTCCCACCGCCGATTTGGTTAATTTTAGTGAGTTTCTCAAGCTTTGTAAATATCCCATGACCCGGGTCGCATTCAAAATAACGCACTCCTTGTACACTTCCATTATTTTTACCGACACACTCATCAAGAACAACTCCAGCCCAGTCACCCTTGGCAAATTTTGTCTGTCCAATAAAAGCTATAGCGCCAGGATTCGAGTTTCCAACCAACACACGATCACCTAGTTTGAACAAGCTAAGTAAATTTGACTTTGATGAGTCAACAGCCACAGTTTGATTTTGACTTTCTGAAGGTGCCCGAGAAACTTCGCCACGTCTCCTTATCACAGGAGCACCTTCAGCTCTCGATGAAGCTCCGCGTAAACTAGAACTAGAACTCTCTCTTCTGTACTGCAGTCTTGTTTGAGATTTCTCTCTTGAAGGTAGTCTCGGTTGAGCAACCTCTACTCCAGTTAGAGATCCCCGTGGACTAACCAAGCGGTCACGGCTTGCGCTCAACTTGCCATTACTGCTGGTTTGCATTCCTCTTCGAGTAACTCCACTTGACATCTGGTTAAGTTTAGCTCCCGAAGGACTAGTTCTCGGTTGTACTGTAGACGATCCTGCCTGAGAAGAATTACCAACAGATCCACGTGGTTTTACCGAAGGAGCTGAAGGTTGAGATCCTGCACCTACACTGCCACCTTGAACCGGTTTAACAATTCTACTTGGGGTCTTTAAACGCGAAAGTCCTGACGGAATCTGGCTCATTTTGAAGCGAGTTTAATGTCCTTTTGTATTCTGTGTTCTGTTCTGTCAGAAAAAGTAAGATTTTCCAGTCTTACATGGCCAAAAACGGCGAAGAATCAACCAATATATATATAAAAAGTTCTAGACGGTACTGCTGCGACAGGTTAAATTCCAGCTCCTAAGGCGCTCAGGCTCGGATTTTCCAAATGGAAAGGACCTGGTACGAGTACAATGATGTCAATCAGTTTTACTGAAACTTGTGCAAAGATAAAACGCATTTTGGCGTCAAAATCGTCCTGTTGTTGCAACTGTTCAAATCAGTTTATTAAAAACAACGCACCTTTCGAATTCACCACTTCTACTCACGAGCAACTCATCAATGTACCATAAAAGCATTTCAACTTTGTTGATATATCCAAATTATTTCGTTACTCCCACCGACGCAGCCCCAAACAGTTTCTTTCGAAACTTTCAGCCTTTTACCATAAAAGCAGTTTCATCATCCTTAATTTCATCCTACTCTTGGTTAAATTTCATATTCTGAGATACCCATGCACACAAACAAATGCTTCTCCTCAAGTAGGTAGTAGGGCGGCCAGTCCCATCAGACAGGAGGTTTCACCCCATTGGAAGAAGTTCTCCCCCAACTACCCATGCGAGTTCGCTCCCTACTGTAAAACGATTTCGCCTCCACTTTAACCAGTTCGCCCCTGAATCATTGAAAGGTGGTAAAAGTAGGTAAAACATCTTTCACTTCATAATTTGGATATATCAACAAAGTTGAAATGGTAAATTGGCCACCGTAACGATTACAAAAGCTGACGTTTCGAGCGTTAGCCCT